TGCCCAGACCCACCATTTTCTTTTCTCTGCCTTTTTCTGCTGTATTAGCTCTTCTCCCACCTAGTACTTAATACTGCCTGCTAATAATAATAACAAACATTGCTAGACGTGCTCAGCACTGTTCTAAAGGATTTACATGTACTAACTAACTATAGCCTCATGACAACCCCACTGCGGAGGTACAGTCACTGATCCTCATGTACACATACGGAACGGAGACACAGATTGGGTCACTTAATGAAGGTCACACAACTACGAAATGATACAGGTCATGATCTCAGCCAGTGTGTTGTGTCGTGTGATGGCACCTTGAGCAAAGTGTTTGTGTGCTTATCGTCTGCCTATTTTTAGTGTGTAACACAGGAGGACTTTCCGTGTTGCTCCCCAGTGGATCTACAGTCTTTAGAAGAATGCCTAGCATGCAGTAGGTCCCAGTAAATACATGTTGACTGACTGACAGCTTCTCTCCCATCTTGGCTTACCAAGGGCGTTTCCCTGATCCTTATCGAAACTGCGATAACCCAATCCCATCTTTACTTTCACAGGATGAACTGGTCATTCATAGAGTAGTGTAATCTTCAGGGCTTTTGCTTCCCAAGTTTGAAGTTAGGAGCGGTGAGGGGACTCAAAGGTCTCTGAGATGGAAGAAACCTTAGAGACACGTTTCTCCGCCCTGCTCAGGCCTTACAGAGGTCATCCCTCCCTGCAAACTGCATCCCCTGAGCTCCTGTGTCTCCGGCTTCGAGCTGGATTTGCCAATGAGAGACAGCAGCAAATGGAGGCCGGGGAGTTCTAGCCCGGCTGCTTCCCTGCCTTGGCACCACAGTTCTGCCAGAGGCTGCTCCATCTGTGACTACCAGTTCCTGCTGGGGGGGTCCCCCTTCCATCTGTTCTGACCGCTCTCCCACAGCTCCCTCGGTCCCCTTGAACAGCACTGCTCAGCTTTGCTCCTTCAGGCCTGATGCTGGGGTCTTCCCACTGTTGCTCATTCTTGGGTACCTCAATATCCTTTGTAGGCTTCCTCAATCCTGCTCACATCTCTGTAAATAGCTCTTTCATTAGATATGCTTCAAAATCCCAGCTGAAATGTCCTTCTTCCTGTTGGGTTGTTAATACAGAGACCACCTGGTCCAAATTCCCATCCAATGCAGCAATCCCCTCTGCAACATCCCCAGCCTCTATTTACCTGCTTCCAGCATTCCAAGGCATCTACTCCATCCATAGACTGTCCTATTATTAAAATGTTATTCCTACTATTAAAATGTTATTCCTTTTTTGGAAGCAAAAATGTTGTCCCTTTTTTGGAGGGAAAAAAGATCTGCTTCCCATGAAATCCTGTTTCTGTCATCTGAAGCACATGGAATAAGCCTCCTCTTTCCTCTACCTGACAGCCCTGTAAATCTTTCCACAAAGCTGTCATGACCTCCCCCAAGTCTTCCCTCCAGGCTCAATGCATTCCACTTATTTTCCACTTTACATTTCTCCATGCTCCCATTTAAGCACCCTCATGTACTTTACTCCCTCATGAAAATGAGGGAGTAAGGAAATGGGATAATAAATTTATAATAATGGATAGGTGTGAGTGGTAGGATCAAGAAACCAGGAAGGAAGCAGAATCTCCCAATTTCTGGACTTATCCCTGAGGCTGACGCGTCAGCTTCCCATTTTACCTCTTTTATTGTTATTACCGCTTAAACTCGTATCACTTCATCCATTCTCTTTTTTGCAATTTTTGTTGTGAAAATAGAATAACATAAAAGTTACCATTTTAACCATTTTTACATGTATAGTTCAATGCCATTAAATACATTCAAAATATTATGCAACCATCAACATTATTCATTTCCAGACCTTTTACATCATCCCAAGCAGAAACTCTGTGCCCATTTAAACAACAAATTCCCATCCCCTCCTCCCTCGGTCCCTGGTAATCTCTGTTCTAGGTCTGCCTCTAGGAGTTGCTTATTCTCATAAATAGAATCATACAATATTTGTCCCATTGTGTCTGGCTTATCTCATCTAGCATAATGAGTTCAGGGTTCGTTCATGTTGCAGTACGTACTAGAATTTCTTCCATTTTTAAGTCTGAATAATATTTCGCTGTATGTATATACCAGTTTTGTTGATCTATTCATCTGTTGACACACACTTGGGTTGTTTTCATCTTTTTAACTCTTGTGAGTAATGCTGCTGTGAACAAATATCTGCTCAAGTCCTTGCTTTCAATTCTTTTGGATACGTACCCAGAAGTGAAACTGCCAGATCATATGGTAATTCTATGTTTAACTTTTTTGAGAAGCTGCCAACTTGTTTTCCACAGTGTCTGTCAATACCATTTCTCATTCCTACCACCAATGTGCGAGGGTTTCAATCTTTCCATATCCTCAGCCAATACTTGTTTTTTTGTTTTGTTCTGTTTTTAATTGAGATAAAGTCTCACTCCCAGGCTGGAGTGCACTGGTGCCATCTTGGTTCACTGCAGCCTCTGCCTCCTGGGCTTAAGCGATTCTCCCACCTCAGCCTCCCAAATAGCTGGGATCACAGGTGCACACATCCATGCCCAGCTAATTTTTTTTTAGTTTTGGTGGATACAGGTTTCCTCATGTTTCCTAGGCTGGTCTCAAACTCCTGAGCTCAAGGAATCTGCCTACCTTGGCCTCCCAGAGTGCTGGAATTACAGGCGTGACCCACCAGGCCTGGCCCAACACTTGCTTTTTAAAAAAAATAGTAGCCATCCTAATAGGTGTGACATTCCCTTTAAAATTTTTTTAAAAGGTTTATTGGGGTAACTGACATACAATAAAACAGCAATATTTAACGTGTATAATTTGATACATTTTGACATATGTATATGCCCATGAAACCATCATCAGAATCAAGATTATTACTACCATTTCTATTACCCCAGAAGTTTCCTCAAGCCCCTTCATAATCTCTCCCTCCTACTCCCCACCACTCCCTTTCCCAGGCAACTTCAACCAATTATTAATCCCCTATGTACTTCAGTTCCCCTTACCTCATATGCTCATTTCCTTCCATCTGTGAAGCTTGATCGCTTGGATCCAAGATGAGGGCAAAATGTATTAGCAGATACATTCAGTAACTTTTACACATACCAAGTTCCCTGCTCCCAGCAAGCCAGTCATAAGTACGAAGAACTTATGAAACTTAAGATGAAGTTGAAAATTAAACTTGCAGTCACTGCTTATACTCCCTCTTTTCCAAACACATACAGAGAAATCAGATTTAAATTGCAATTACCTTTGAGGTAAGAATTCTTCTTACGATTTTATAGACAAAGGAACTGAAGTTTGAAGAGGTTAGACAACTTGTTCAGAATCCCATAACTCAACACCAAAAGCACAAACCATAAAAGAAAACATTGATAAGCTGGACTAGATCAAAATTTAAAACGTTTGCGCTTAAAAGACACCAACGGGCTGGGCGCAGTGGCTCATGACTGTAATCCCCAACACTTTGCGAGGCCAAGACAGGTGGATCCCTTGAGCCCAGCAGTTCAAGACCAGCCTGGGCAACATGGTGAGACCCCCATCTCTACCAAAAATACAAAAATAGCTGGACGTGGTGGTGCACGCTTGTAGTCCCAGCTACTCCGGGGGCTGAGGTGGGAGAATTACTTGAGCCTAGAAGGTCAAGCTGTAGTGAGCTGTGATTGTGATTGTGCCATTGCACTCCAGCCTGGGTGACACAGTGAGACCCTGTCTCAAAAAAAAAAAAAAAAAAGACACCACTGAGAACATAAAAAGACAAGTCACAGGCTGGGATAAGATGTGTGCAAGTCGTATATGTGATAAAAGATTTAAATCTAGAATATATAGAGAGCATTTACAATGACCAACACTTAGAAAGTGTTTGCCAAATTTTTTTAATGAGCAAAAGATTAAATAGACATTTTCCCAAAGGTAAAATATCAATGTCTAATATACAAAGACAAGATGCTCAAAATTATTATTCATTAGGGAAATGCAAATTAAAACCAGAAGACGATACCTCTAGACACCCACTAGGATGGCTATAATGAAAAAGACAGACAATAACAAGTGTTGTTAAGGAAACAGGGAAATTGAAAGCCTTATGCATTGCTAGTCGGATTGTAAAACGCCACAGACGCTTTGGAATGCAGTTTGGCAGTTTCTTAAAAACTTAAAACAAACTAATAATACAATCCAGCAATTCTATTTCTAAGAATCTATCAGAAAAATGAAAATCCATGTCCACACGAAGACATGCACACAAAAGTTTATAGCACCATTATTCATGCTAGTCAAAAACTGGAAACAGTCTAAATAGCTATCCACTGATGAATGAATATGCAAAATATGGTACACTCCTACAATGGAATACTATTCAGCAATGAAAAGGAATGGATTTCTTCACATGCTACAACATGGATGAACTTTAAAACCATTAAGTGAAAGAAGTTAGACACTACATACATACTGCATAATTGATTCCATTTATAGGAAATACCTAGTAAAAACAAATTTACAGAAGCAGAAAGCGGATGGAAATGTTCTAAAACTGGTTTGTGGTGGTGGTTCCGCAACTCAACAAATTTACTCAAATCACTTACAATGGGTGAATTTTATCATATGTAAATTATACTTCAGTAAACCTCCTTGTGAAATTACACAACTGATAAATGGTAGCACAAGTTGTAAAGAAAAGTTATCTACAAAGACCTATGATTAGTAAACCTACTCAAAGATGTAGGATGTAGAATATATAAGTTGTCGCTGGAGTTCCTCAACCTCCCTAAAAATTAACAAGAAGCTTATTTGGGGGGTTGTATTAAGCAATCATACTTTAATTAATTCTTTCGTTAAAAGCCATTAGTTATTTTAAAGCCTTTTACTGTGTTTTAGAATTTTCACAGTTTTACTTCAGTCTATTAGATTCCCTGAAGACTTTGTTAAATATATACAGTGGATGTTTTTTTGTGATCTTAGTTTAAATTTGCTTTGTATGAATTCTTACAGTTGAAAACATTCAAGTATAGAATAAACCATTACTGCGAATATGCTCATATGACACAAGAACAATCTCTGAGCTTCTGTGAGGATGTCCAGACGACTGGTGACCGTGCTAACTGCATCAGGCATGTATTCATACAGCTGCTTTCTATGAAGTAGTGGTCGCTAGTTATGAGGCATTAAGGCTTCATGGATATAGACAGACTATTCCACTTAAGTGACCTGGCAGCAGCTTAGTTTTCTACCACAAAATCCACCTTCCCCGCCACCGTCCCTTCCTAGCTGGTCAGAAAAGCTACTCAGAATAAAGACTACATTTCCCAGTCATCTTTGAAGCTAGGTTTATCCGCCTGACTAAATTCCACCAGTAAGATAAAAGCAGAAGTAGAAGTGTGGGGTTTTTTTTTATTGTTTGTTTTTTGTTTTTTGAGACGGAGTTTCGTTCTTGTTGCCTAGGCTGGAATGCAATGGCACAATCTTGGCTCACTGCAGCCTCTGCCTCCCGGGTTCAAGTGATTCTCCTGCCTCAGCCTCCCAAGTAGCTGAGTTTACAGGCATGTGCCACCACGCCCAGCTAATTCTGTATTTTTAGTAGAGACGGGGTTTCTCCATATTGGTCAGGCTGGTCTCGAACTCCAGACCTCAGGTGATCCACCTGCCTCAGTCTCCCAAAGTGCTGGGATTACAGGCGTGAGCCACCGCACCCTGCCTAAGCAGAAGTGTTTGCAAGTGCCCTGAGAATCATGCTTAAAGGGAACAGACTCAGGTAGAAGGAACCCCTTTCCACCCTTCCACCTTTTCCCCTTCTTCAGGCCTGCCACAAGAACGTGAAGGCCAGAGCTCCAGCAGCTGTTAGAACCACAATGTGACCCTCAAGGCAGGAAACTTAGCTTTGGAAGGTAGGGAGCCTGGATAATACCCTGGAGCCACCATGTCAGCATGGGTTGCTGCCTCCATTCTTCTCTTAGGGAACAGAAAAACATGCTTCTGTCCTGTTTAAGACATTGGAGCCAAGTTTCTTTTACTCACACAGAGCCTCATTCTACTTGACACAAGGTCTAACAGAAAAAGATCCAATGGAATCCTTTCTCTAAGAAACGAGCAGAGAGAGGAGAGCAAGGCAGTGAATTTCTTTCTTTGTTTTTTTTTTTTTTTTTTTTTGAGACAGAGTTTTTGCTCTTGTCGCCCAGGCTGGAATACAATGGCACAATCTCGGTTCACTGCAACCTCCACCTCCTGGGTTCGAATGATTCTCCTGCCTCAGCCTTCCAGCCTCCCAAGTAGCTGGGATTACAGGCATGCACCACCACGTCTGGCTAATTGTTTTGTATTTAGTAGAGACGGGGTTTCACCACGTTGGTCAGGCTGGTCTCGAACTCCTGACTTCAGGTGATCCACCCGCCTCAGCCTCCCAAAGTGCTGGGATTACAGGCGTGAGCCACCGCACCTGGCCGGAAGTGAAGTTCTACAGTAGCACGTCTGTGAGGCCTCAGCACAGAGGTCTGGTCACTCAGCAGCCACGGTTAACGACTACACCTGCTATACTGGAAACCACCTCAATAATGAGATTCATAGAACTATACTTAATAACTGCTCCCTAGCGATGCAGCAAAAGGTAAATACACACACATCAGATGTTCACATCCTAAATCTGATTTATTTCTTCCAACATAAAGATTGGAAAACTATTGTAAGGTGAAAGCTAAGTCCATCAAGGAGTTCCTGAAACGCTGATTTAATCAGAAGAAGCTTCTTAAAATTCTCAAACTCTGCAGTTTCTTAAAATTCTTAAAAATACAGTACTTGTTGACCATATATAAGATGAATATATTATCTAGCTTCTCTGTCTTTTCTCTAAATTAGGTACCACTCAGACTTAGACTCACCAAGACCTATGTGTGCTAGGCCTCTCAAGTGTTAGTTAATGAACATAATATAGTAGCTATCTTAGTGCTGTGTGCAGATAAATGTTTCATGATTTTTTTGTGTGAGAAAAATGTGAATTTTTTTTTTTTTTTTTTTGAGGCAGGACCTCGCTCTGTCACCCAGGCTGTAGTGCAGGGCTGTGATCTCAGCTCACTGCAGCCTCAACCTCCTGGACTCAAGTGATCCTCCCACAGCTTCCTGAGTAGCTGGGACTACAGGCTTGTGCCACCACACCTGGCTAATTTATTTTATTTGAATTTTGTAGAGATAGGGTCTCACTATGTTGCCCAGGCTGGTCTTCAACTCTTGGCCTCAAGTGATTCTCCTGTCTTGGCCTCCCCGAGGGCTGGGATTATAGGCATGAGCCACCATGTCCAGCCTAAATGTGATGACTTTCAGACCTATGATAATGGTTTGCTGGTGGTAGCACAGGGCAGATAATGTCTATGCCAGTATTGTCAGTGAGGAATTGCTGCAAGCATAGATTAGTTCACTGGTGGAACACAGTGTGGATTGGCAGTTCACTGGTAGAACACGGCACGGATTGGTAGCTCGCTGGTGGAACACGGCATGGATTGGTAGCTCGCTGGTGGAACACGGTGCGGATTGGTAGTTCACTGGTGGAACACGGTGTGGATTGGTAGCTCGCTGGTGGAACACGGTGCGGATTGGTAGTTCACTGGTGGAACACGGTGTGGATTGGTAGTTTGGGCTCCAGTGCAGATGTATTGCCAATTTTAGGCTTAGAGATCTAACAAAAGTACTTAGATGCACACAAACATTAATTCCTGCCCTCATATCATACGGCCAGCTCTCAAGATGATGCCAGAGAAAGACAAGAAGTGTACGTGGTCAACATGGACGTTTAATTTGGACCTTACTCATTCAATAGAAGATGGAACTTTAGATTCTGGACATTTTGAACGTTACTAAAAGGTTAAAATCAATGGAAAAACTGAAAATCTCACAGACGTTAACAGTGAATGCTTCAAAAATGAAATCACAGTTGTTTCTGAGAAACAATTTTCCAAAAGGTCCTTTAAATGCCTCACCAAGAAATACCTTAGGGAGAACAATCTTCGTGATTGGCCTTGAGTGGCTGCATCCTGCAAGGAGGCTCACGGGTCTCACTGCGTCCCGATCAGTCACAGTGAAGATGGGTGAGTCTGAGGAGCAGGTAAAGCTTCCTTCCCGGGGCTTTGACTACCAATACAACAAATCGAGCATACATGAGAAAGAAATATCTAGAAACTGACTTTCAGTTTATTGATGAATAAAAACATTGTACTCTTTAAAAAATTAATACCTGAAATTAATCTTCCTTAGAAGCCTCACCTTTGTTGAGTCTCAAATTTCTTCCCTGTTCCAGAAAGAAGATGGACAATATGACCTCTGCCGTCCCCTTTAGTGCTAGCTTGCTGAGGATATGAATTCTCTTCTGGAAGTAACCAAAAAATAAAAATATAAATTAAAATAGCGCATATACACTAAGTAAACACATTGTCTTCAGATAGGCAGAAATGGAAATGTTCTGGGAATAAACCAACATCCTTCAGGATGTATGTAGTAAGTAAACGATTTGGCTACTGAGACAAATGACCTTTCCCTTAAGATTTCAAGTCGCTAGTTATTTTAGACCTTTGAAGTTGAAAGTGCTATGTTAAAACTAAAAATACAAGTTACTGTGGAAATCAAAGGGGGACTTGCCATGTAAGTAGTTGTCCAATCTTAATACTTTTAATGGACCTTCTTGGTACAGATACCCTTGGCTATCTGCCCTGGCTGAGACAGCCACACTCCAAGCTTATCCTACTGGGTGACTAAATGCAGTCCTGTGGGAAATAAAGTGGTCACAAAGTCCTTCTGCTTGTGGCTTGTCTAAACTTCCTCCCTACAGTTTAATGCACAGTATGTGGTCATCCTGGCTAGTAAGCCTAACCTGCCCAGACGGAAACAACCCAGCATGGATTAGAAATTAGAAAGTGTGACTGCAAGCCCCTGGGCCGACAGGCCAAAGGAGTGGTTTACTTTGACATTCTGAGAGCCCAGAGTCCTCTCACAAGGTACATTGTACGTTCCTGGACTCCTAAACCTTTCTGAAATCCATTCGGTTCATCAAGAACTAACTGGGCAGTCATGACAAAGGTTACATAGTAAGAAGTGGAAAAGGTATGCTATGACTCACACCAAATAGGCTGTGATTTTCCTAGTAAGTAACATTGCTCCTTGCACATTAAATTATCCCATATTAATTTGTATGTCAATTTTTTTATTGCTGAAGTCATCCAGGCAAATTCTGAAATGGCGAATCTCTAGGAACAGAGACAGAATCACTGGCCGGTGCTGGGGTAGGGGATGGACTATAAAGGCTGGGGGAGGAGTTCTGCTTCTTGATTTTGAAAGTAGTTTACATTTATCAAATCCATTCAACTGTGTACCTAAAAGGGACGAATTTTATTGGATGTAAATTATACCTTCATACACCCGAGTTCAATTTTTTTTAAATCATATGTCAAAAAACACAAACCAGATAATCATCTTTGATCCAATTCTCTGGGTATTTTAAATACCCCATACACACAAAAAAACCCTGGCTAGAATCAGCATCTCGGCTGCTGACATCAGTATTAGACCAGAAGGACACCAGACAAATGACGCCTAACATTTGCAACCAGTGCTCTCATGAAGTCTCACTTAGATAAAACAAGATTTTACCATCCACTACATGGAATATACTCAGCAGTGGGTCACATAAGAAATTAGGCCAGAACACTAGATCAGAGTTATCTGGGACTCTAATGTGGAATAAACTTAGTCTCCAAAACTCTAACATTTATTACCCTAAAATTCTGTCACAACTCTCAGGCTGCATTAATAAAATGCTTGTTTATTTCTTTAGGCACTTTGATGAATGCCTCAATAGCATTTTCTTAATTGAATCATGATCAATCACTAATAATTTTTTCTATGTATAATACTTCAGAAATTTCAGTCTGCCTCAGTAGATTTTCCTCCAAGCTTTTCAATGCCAGCACTGCCAAACTTACAAATCTGAACTCACTGACTGGCTAAATGTATTAACAGGTCTCAGCATTCATAGGATATAACATGCTCTAAAAGAATTAGCATACGATTGTAGCATTTCATTCCTTATACTGAAAAGACAACTTTTATTACTAAAATCAAATATCTAAAATTATTTTCCTAGATAATATCTAAAATTCTTTTCTTACACTAAGAAATGCATTTTACATCTTAACCCAGTATAGACACACACACACACACTGAGAAAAAAGGTTTCATAAAAAAAATATCCTTACTATAGGAGGTGCACTCCGACATTCCGTTCTATTTTGCTTTTTTCTTAAATGCTGGTGATGACACATTAAATTGATTTTATGACCTACTAATGGATTCCAGCCCACTATTCAAAAAGCACTGCTTTAGGCCTTTGCATATGTTAGTGTCTCTGCTTGGAATATCGTTCACTTTTTTCCTCTCCTGGCCAACTCTTACCTGTCTGTCAAGATCCAGTTTAGAGTGTCTGTCCATCTCCTGCTCCCTGGATTAGCACCCCTCTGTGTTCCCACAGCACCTCTGATATACCTGACACTCTATGTCAATCTCTTCACCGGTTTGTTGCCTCCTCTTGACAGTGAGACTGTAGAGGACAGTGATGGAGCTGCTCATCCATGGGTCCTCCCTGCCTAGGAGACAGTGCCCAGCATAGAGCAGACCTTCAATGAACAGCAGCTTAATGAGTAACTCATCTATTCCAGTTTTCATCAGGGTAGATTGAGATGTCCAAGATTACAAAATCTGGCTGTCTCCTGAGGGAACTCCCACACTTTTCAGTAGCAGAGCCACCCAGAGGTGTCTCACTTTAGGCCAGAGCGCTTCTCTCCCCATTATGGTTTAGAGCAGCAATTTTCAAATTTTTTAACCTAAGAATCCTTTTACACTCTTAAAATTAATCAGGACCCCAATCAGCACTGATGTATGTAGGAGAAAGTTATTTATATATAATTATTTACTGAGAAATCCCGAACATATACATTCATTCTAACTATCAATGTTTAGCAATATAAAAACTGAGGAATATTTAAAACGTAAAATTACACAGCACACTTTTCAGTAGTGTCATCACTCGTCACTTCTGCACACTCCACTCCATGCTCATCAGAACGAGAGTGCAAATAACATCTTAGTAGTATTACAAAATAGTTTTGACCCCACAGGTCCCTGAAAGGGTCTCAAGGACTCCAAAAAGTCCTCAGATCGAACTTTGAGAACCACTGATTCCGAGCATTTAAGCTGTAGACTGCGGCTGAAGGGGCAGTGTCTATAAAAAGACCTCTGCTTTTATCACCTGGGTCTGGAACTGAGAGATAAGTATTATGTGGGTCAGCTTTATTATTGCCAGAGCTCTTGGATAATATGGCATAATTGCATGGTAATAATGATCTTCTGAATATTGTCCCTCAAACTTATCATCTAGTCACGGTGCTAAAAACTGCAGCTCTCCCCCTAGAGGCAGGCTCCTGTAAAACTTTCGAGCCAGAAGGGCAGTCCGGAACGCAAGCACCCTGTGGGCGGTGAGTGGCTCCCAGGGCAGAGAAAGGGGCTGGGCTATGCTCTCCCACAGTGCAAATCAGAAATGTCCCTCTTCTACTCCTGGGAGGAGAAAATCAGGAGGCAGAAGACAGAAGCCAAGAACGCTACGCTAGCGGGGCTCCCTCGACAAGGAAAAGAACATCAGGAATGGATAATAACGAGCTAGGCGCCATGGCTCACGCCTGTAATCCCAGCACTTTGGGAGGCCAAGGTGGGGGTATCACTTGAGGTCAGGGCTGGGCAACATGGTGAAACCCCATCTCTACTAAAAATACAAAAATTAGCCGGGCGTAGTGACAGGCACCCGTAGTCCCAGCTACTTCAGAGGTTGTAGCAGGAGAATCGCTTGAGCCTGGGAGGCAGAGGTTGCAGTGAGCCGAGATCACACCACTGCACTCCAGCCTGGGTGACAGAGCAAGACTCCGCATCAAAAAAAAAAAAAAATATGGATAATCACTATTACCCCATATGGCACTGAGCAGCAAGTCTGTTGTGTTACCTAAAATTACATATTTTAGCAGAGTACCAATTTTATGAAATTTTCCTGTCACTAAAAAAAAACCCTGCATAATTTGTGAACCTCTTTGTAAGAGTGAATACACGATACACTGAGGTATTATTTACACTCACAGAAATTGGTATCACATTTTAATACGGTAACATTCCCATATGTGAATGTCTGCTTGGACCACTGTTCACCTTTCTTCTCCTGGTTCATTCTTGCCTTCACCTGCAAGTGCTATGCTAACATGTTAAACAATTTTCTTAAAAATCTCAGATACTTGTCATCTATGTTAGGAATAATGTGTCTTCTTAAAGTAACTCCAGGTTAAAGAACTTCTACTTATAGGCATCAACTCAACAAAGACAAATCCCGGAATGGGGATGGAAATGATGGCTCATGTCTTAGCAAACTACCAGTACCTCTACTAGAACCGGGTACTTCTTTAACCAATATGAGCACAGTAAAGGTCAGAATTAGGTTGTTTTTCATAGTCAAGAGCACATTCTCCCAAGTTTTCTGTTCCTCAAATACTACATATAAGATTAAGCAGCATTACACGTAAACCATATCCCTTGAGCATATACATTCATGACATAGAGAGACACTAAATTAAAGTGTCTGATGAGTATTGTGAAGTCTTTCTTGCCAAAGAGAATGATTTTGTTGAATAGATACTCTTCGCCTAGAGAAGTGCTAAACTATTCCTGAGTTTTCCCAGCTGTCTCGCACTTACAGTGTTTCAGATAGCAAGACTTATGTAATTTCCATCCCAATAAATATATCTTAAAGGGAAGAGATGTCAGTGACATTAAATTACAGCACAGCTTGGATGTCAATGCCACAGGAAAGAGAAGAGATGGGAAAAGGAAGTGTCATCACTGAGCAAGGTTTTAAAAAGTAAAATTTCCCATGTACTTTAGACAAACATCAACTTTGGGCAACCAGAAAGAACTTACGACATGCTGATCCAAAGGCCATAGTCCAAATCTTTGTATAGATTCCTCAGAAAAACAACTTAGGATAGATAAGAGTTGTCAGTGTTTTTTGTAAAAAATAAAGTTACAGTGATTTTTAAATGAAGCAATGAGATGAAAATAAAAGACTAAAACTCTTTAGAATAATGATTTATGAGTAAACCAAGGCAAAGCTTCATTTCAATTTGGAATAAAAATGATTATGAAGCTAAAATCCAAGAAATTGAACTCTAGGTTTCATACTACTTTTTAACATTTTCCTCTGCCAAATAAACAAAGGTTATTTTTTTCCCTCTTCCCTTTCCTTTCCCCTTTTGAGGGGTGATCTTTATGAAATGAAATGTCCTCTAAAGCTTACCTCCATTCTTTCCCGTCTTCTAACACAAGGAGTTTTACCAAATGTGGCTCACTCAGTTATTTTCTTCTGCCCAATCCCAGTACCCAGGTGTGCTTGCTTAGGTTTCAAGCTACTGCTAAATTTTTCAATTTCTTTCAGTGCTCCCACCCACTGGAAGTAGAAGTTGCTTAGCAGCAATAATATTAATTAAATAAAGCAAAATTCCACTGTTTAGTAACTGCATATATAATTTCCTACCCAAGTACAAATTTCAAAGTTAAGTGTCTTCACCGAATAAACTGAGAAACCCTAGACAGTGGGAAGACACAAGCATGCCTCATGTTGCCAAAGAAAATAAGAAAGACCTGACAAACTACTGGCTAAGCATTAGACAGACACATAGATAGAATCAATGTGCTTTTTCTCATGCAAAGAAAAAAATTAGATGCAAACTTTACATTTAAAACTGCATTGTTCCCCTTTAATCTGGCCACCATCCGAGTGGTGATCTGGATGTTAGAGAAGAGATGAATGGGAGACATTGGCAGGGATTGAAGCTTGGGGATGAATGTGGAAATGTAGAATGGATGTTTCTTTTTTTTGGCTTTGAGTTGACTGTTGTTTCTGTCTGTTTTTTAGAACTGATCCGAGAGGACAGGGAAGTCAGTGTGGGCGGCTCTGAGGAGCCTCCCTCTCTACAGCTGCGGCTCAGAGGATTACGGCGCTTCATCCACAAGGCAACATTGCACAAGTAGCCTTTGAACAAAAGTCATGGATACTATTAATGATATGGTAATCCTTAATCGAGCTACCTCCCAGTAGTGATTATACTGACATGGGAAGAATATCTAAGTCGAGGAGGCAGCTCACAACAACACTGTGTCATTGTTCACCCCGGGCTCGACCAGGACTAACTTTTACCAGCATCTCTAATGTCACCTTTCCCTTGATGCCTCCCCACAACCCCCGGCCCCAGCTCCCACTCCCACCCCATCACAGCAAAGAAGTAGCGAAGAAAACCCTGATTCTAAATCTGTTTTTAGATTTGTTTTTGCAAGTTCCCACACACATTTAGTGTCGTCTCAAAATTCACGCTGTCAACTGTCTCCAGGAATCATTTCCATCTGAGAACAAGACCACACAAAGGTTAGTTCGGTGGGTCTCGGCGAAGATGTTTTAATTGTCCAACAATAGATTCTTCCATCATTTGACTTGCAAATACTGTCCTCTTGCTCTCAGATAACATGTTCAGAATTAGACCATTTGTCAATAAATTTCCCGAAACTCCTTAATTATGATACTGATACACAAGGGGTTTGCCATTTGCAAGACTCAATTACAATCCAGCAGGGAAAATCTTATGGCTCACCATACTGTGGGGCTCACCATTCTGTGGGACTCCCCAAAAGGCCAAACTTAATGTACTCATAGATGAGTCCCCTTAACATAAGGAAAGTGACCTTCATAAAGACGGAATATATCTATGATTTTTATGTAATTGTATGTGTGGGATAAACATGTTCAAATGACTTGTGGTAAATGTACTCATGAAGCTAAAGAAACTATACCCTAACTACTACCCTGACCTAATTATTCTCTTTCATAGCTCATTCATATTTTTAAATAATGCCATTTCTCTGCCATTCAAAACAAATCTAAACAAAATCTATAATTAATATAATTTTATGGATACCCTCCCATATTCATGAGACCACATAGACGATCTTTGTAAACCCCATAATAAGCCGTGCCAACACACAATGAAATTGGGATGTGAAAAATGTCTGCTTTTTCTAACAAACATCTCTGGAGGAGATCATTGTTCTAAATCAGCTTTTCATTATTCTTTGCTAAAACAACAACAACAAAAAAAAATGTTGGAAAATACACATATTTTTAGCAGAACTGCCTTCTTTAATGAATGTGAGATGTATACATTTTATCCAATATGACTATAAAGAACAAACAATAATTGTATACATATAACATTAGTAGAGGCCACAGCCATAAACAGGTTCATATTGAACACTGGGATAATTTATCAAACATTTTAGAGCCACGAAACTAATGTACTGACTTCTATGTTAAAATTAATAACTAACTGGTTTCTGTTTGAAGACCGGATTTGGGCAAAGACGGTAAGTGCAGAAACTTTCCCTCTTCATTTTACATACACTTTATATTTGGATATTTACGATAACCCTTTATTGCTTTTCTAACTTAAAAGATAATAAAGCCGGGCGCAGTGGCTCACGCCTGTAATCCCAGCACTTTGGGAGGCCAAGGCGGGCGGATCAGGAGGTCAGGAGATCGAGACCATCCTGGCTAATACGGTGAAATCCCGTCTCTACTAAAAATACGAAAAACTAGCCGGGCGTGGTGGCGGCGCCTGTGGTCCCAGCTACTCGGGAGGCTGAGGCGGGAGAATGGTGGGAACCCGGGAGGCGGAGCTTGCAGTGAGCTGAGATCGCACCACTGCACTCCAGCCTGGGAGACAGAGCGAGACTCCGTCTCAAAAAACAACAACAACAACAAAAAAGATAATAAGTGACAAAAACACATGAAATGCTTGAAACGTCTGAATATCTTATCATCTCTAAGTGGTTTTATTTTCTGAATTTATTCATATGAAAGTGCCACTGTGGCAACTTCACAGTCCCAGCAAAGTACAGAGTAAAAGTTTTGAGATTCTGGTTTATGTAAAAATTGGCTACACAAATTAATATATCACGTCAAATAAAAGCATAGAAGCTTTAACCTCATCTCATTTATCTACATACATCTTCCACTGCTGAGGGGAAGCACAGCTGATCATCACCTCACCTAAAAATTATTAAGCATAATTTTCTTTTCTTTTCTTTTCTTTTCGACGGAGTCTCACTCTGTCGCCCAGACTGGAGTGCAGTGGTGCAATCTCAGCTCACTGCAAGCTCCGCCTCCTGGGTTCACACCATTCTCCTGCCTCAGCCTCCCAAGTATCTGAGACTACAGGTGCCTGCCACCACACCCACCTAATTTTTTGTATTTTCATCATAATTTTCATTACCTGGAACGTATAATGAGAAAAGTATTGGCTTTAGAGCCAAGCAAGCCAGGCCTCGCCACGGAAATGCTTTGTTCTGGCCAAGCACAGTGGCTCACACCTGTAATCCCAGCACTTCGGGAGGCCAAGGCAGGCAAATCATCTGAGGTCAGCAGTTTCAGACCAGCCTAGACAATACAAAACTTAGCCAGGCGTGGTGGTGCACGCCTGTAGTCCCAGCTACTCGGGAGGCTGAGGCAGGAGAATAACTTGAACCCAGGATGCAGAGGTTGCAGTGAGCCGAGATCACACCACTGCACTCCAGCCTGGGGAACACAGCAAGACTCTGTCTCAAAAAAAAAAAAAAATGTGTTCTGGATTCTATGTAGTTCAAAGATACACAACTATTTGCTTAAAGAAAGTAATAAATAAACACTTAAAATTCATATTTAATCTGGATGAGCTATTTTATTACAATATTCTGGCTTCGCTGGGTAATTGTCTAGCCTCCTGCAAACATTAGGCAAAATGATTCATAATCGACTGTCTTCAATTTATTAGTTAAATTAAACTTGTGAGGAAAATTCAAGTTTTCTATCACATTGTATAGATAGAGAAACAAAGGCACAGAGACCTGAGGAACTGATTTACTTGGGACAAAAGACTGAATCAATTTCTTTCTTCCATCATGCTGCCTACTCTAATTTTAAAAATTTGCTGTCTAATTCAAAGCTGTCCCATAGGAATACACTAAAAACTACATTCACAATTTTAAATTTGCTAATAGCACACTAAAAAAGATGCTTTTAAGTGCAATTAATTTTAATGATATATTTTATGTGGCCCAATATATCTAAAATATAATCATTTCAATATGTAATCCATATAAAAATCATTGATTTTAGTATTCTTTTTTTAATACTAAGTCTAAATTGAATTCAGACTTAAAAAAATAATAAGTAACCAGAAAACATAAGTGAGTTGCCTATAAAAGCTAAACCTTGCATTGCAAGCCACATTTCAAGTGTAACCTTCCTTGTTGGCACAGTAATGGTAGCAGAGGCACAACTGCTTGTCCTGACTGTCCAGAAGGCAGGGTGGTATTGAGTATGTGGGCTCCGGGCAGGTGCAGTCTGGATTTGCACCCTGGCTCCGCCACTGCTAACTGGAGGACAATGGGCAAGTTGCTTTCTGTGTCCCAGCTTTCTCATATGTGAAGCAGGGCTGTCGTAAGAATGAAATGAGTTAGTATTTAGTGCCTGACAAGTAGTAGGCATTACATGTTAGCTATTGGTACTGCTGTTGTCAGAGAATGCACAAGAGTGCACAAGAGCTAATTATTATTTGTACCCTCCCCCCAATGAAAATTTGTAAGAAACTAGACATGCTAGATCTATAACAGGGTTTGTCGTGTGTTAAATTGTGTCCCCAAATGATACGTCAAAGTCCTTATCCCCAGCACCTCAGAATATGCCTTCATTTGAAAATAGGGTAGTTGGAGATGTTACTAGTTAAGACACAGTCATACTGGGCACATTGAGGGCACATTGAGCCCTCAATCTGAGAAGACCGGTGTCTTTATGAGAGCAAGGAAATTCGGACACAGAGACAGAGACGCGCGGTGTGCCATATGACAGCAGAGGCAAAGACGAGAGTGGCACAGCCACAGAACAAGGCTCACAGGGATTACCAGTCACCCTGAGAAGTAAGGAAAGGGCAGGGAAGGATTCTCCTGAGTCTCAGAGGGAGCGTGCCCCAGCTCACACCTTGATTTTGAACTTCCAGCCTCTGGAACTGTGAGAGAATACATTCCTGTCATTTTAAGCCACCCAGTTTGTGCTGCCCCATGATGGTAGCCCTCGGAAAGTAATACAGAGCTCTTCACCCAGAAGGAAGCACTCTGTCTCACCAACAGCCACGGTCCTGGATGGCTGACAACCTGGAGATTGCAGACCTCCAAGGAATTAAAGCAGGCTCTATAAAGTCTGGGTGGCCCCATCTTCCAAAGGCTGCTTCTCCAGTCCACACACACACTTTGGAAGGAGAATCCTGCTCTTGGACGTGGTATTCCTGGTGGGACAGCTGCCTATAAAATGAATGAGGTAAGTCACAAACCCAGCGAAATAATTCCATTGGTTTCTTGGTGATGAAACTAGTGTGAGCATGTCACAAAGTTTGTTCTTAGTGGACTTTGTCATCCTTTGCCACAGTTTTTTCAAACATCTTATTATGGTCAAAACATTAATTTTCATTCAGTTTTTTATTTGTTTCTTTGTTTTAGAGACGGGGTCTCATGTGGTCACTCCGGCCGGAGTGCAGTAGCACAGTCATAGCTCACCACAGCCTCAAACTGCGGGGCTCACGTGATCCTCCTGCCTCAGCCTCCTGAGTTTAATTCAGTTTTTAAAAAAGTTTTAGTATTTATGTGTATCCTTAAAAACTGGGGCACTAAAGGTAGGACTTACAAAGAAGTAAAATAAAAATAGTCTAAAGTGATATGGATTTTTATATCGCTAATACTCCTGGAACTGTTAACCATTCTATATACTCTTTTCTATAGTTCTTCTTTCTCCTCAACTTGACAGTTATGTTTCTTTTCCATTTCCATTTATATACATAAGAAATGAAGTTCTCGATCATATATGCAGATTTTGTGACAAAATTACAAAAAAATTATCTAAAAGAAACATTTATTTTCATAATTCAGGAATGCTTGACTGTAAACACAAGTACTCATAAATGTTTACTGTATTGATTTTAATTTGATGATTATAAAGTAGACTCTAAAAATGAATTTATTACTTTAATGTTATTGCTTGTTAATTCTTCTTATTTACCAGGAAGACACATGCTTCTGTTACAGCATCTTCTTAAGTCACACTAAGTGGCTGCCTCAAATCTCCATTAATATTGATAAGAATAAAAACTGCTTCAAGCAGAATTTTACACTTAGAGAGAACCTTGGAGATCTTTTGAGCTAAACTTTTCATTTTACAGATGAGAAAACCTGAGCAAGGGGATATTAAGGATTTGACGAGGGGCGTGTCATTATGAAATGAAAAGCCAAGCTATAACTCTTGTCATCCAAGTCTCCGAACACCCAGTTCAGGGGCCGTTACACCAC